CCTCCTGACCGCTTCATCCTTTTTCCCTCCTCATCACTGTGTCATCCAACTTCAACCGCCTGATTTGTTTAAAGGATAGTTGATTGATTAGAAATGACTTCTTGAAGCTTCTGCAGTGGATAGATAGATGGATAGGTGGCTATGCGGATGGACGAATAGTTGATGGACGTATACGGGATAGATGGAAGGATAGATCGAGACAAAACCAGCATAAATCCACAACAGCGTCAGGCTTCTTTAATAATATTCGTGTATTCCAGCAGAGTTACGAGTTCACCAGGTCTGAGGAGCGTTTATCCGGAGCTCCTTCTCCAAAAACCGCAAACGAAGCTCGTTTGATGATCTTTGATCGACCACGATTCATGGCTTTCGTCACCTCATTATTCAGAAGAAGGTTACCCAATTCGCGATGTGATCGAACACTTTCTAGACACCTTTGTCGATTACATCTGGAACCCTCCTAAGTGATACATGAAATGGCATTCTTTGCCTTGGAAACAACGACACCACACCAATTGGATGCATCACTCCACGAATGTGGGAGATTACGGTGGAAGTGCCAGAGGTAACAAACGGAGTGAAAAAAAGAAAACAATCCTTTTTCTCTTCATGAGAACACAGTAGAACGAACAGGCCAACGATCGAGCAAAATCACACACAAATATGCGACTGTGAGGTGGTTCAAAAAGCGGACAAGGAAATTGGACCTCAAATAAGCATGGTTTTGAGACCAAGGTGTGGAGGCAGAAGATGTTGATGAAGTGACTCATTCCAAACTCAAGCAAAACAAAATGAGAAAAAAAATCGCATCATGGAGGTCTCCAATCTACTTGAAGATAATTAGAATTAAGAATTGCGTTTAATGGACAGCTCCATGCCAATAGGATAGATGGGGGTTGTTGAAAAAGACTTTGAGGCTGTGAAAAAGATGAATTATGAGAAGGAAACTTACTTTACTCACATGAGTCAGATGGCGGAGTAGACATCCAGACGTCCCTTCAGTGGTACACAGAGTTTAACCACTTCTGCAACTACCCACCTACCCATCCACGCATTCCTCCACCTATCCAATCCTTCATCAATCTAGCTCACCATCTGACTGGATGATGATCCAGTCAGTGGAGTTGACATTTGCTTACCCAGACTTCCGTCTAACCACCTAACCAATCAGCCCGTTCGGAGAAACTTTAGAAAGAAATTTGTTTTTTTGTGGAGAAAAATTGCAGAATCGCTTGCAGGTGTAAAGACAACAATAAAAAAATTCAAGTTTCCTTTTCTCACGACAACAGGTGTCGACGATATCACTCGAGATGGACTGCAGCAACACCGCGTAAAGTAGTGGTGGGAAAATGTGACACCTGTGGCATGATTCAAGCCGAGACTCAAACACTCCCAAGCCCGGAGCACACGAAAATGAAAATCAAGAAGAAATGCAAGGGCTGTAAAAGATGGATGATAAGAAAAAGAAAAGTTATTCAGTAGATGAAGAGGATTTAAATCCGTTTCCTCAGTCATCCAACGCATAGGTAGGCATGCATCCATCCCCAGAGCTGTCAGGATTGGCAGTACTTGCGTTAAGCGTCATACCATCCATAAATTCCATTTTCATCCCGTATTCATCCTTCCATTCATTCAACTCGTATCCACCCATCCATCAAACCAACAGGCTCCATATCAACCGATTCATTTACCTCTTTGTTTTACTCAGAATAGAACCTATCCACCAAAGGCATTTGAAGGGTAGGGAGAAGTTTGACTGGTCTATAATTATGGGGGTGGAATCAAACAGAAGTCACGGGGAATGGCATCAACCTTTCAACACACTTCAATCATATCCAATCAAATCAGCCTCATTAGTTAAAGGGGAATGATAGGCATTTCACACCAAATCTCGGTAGATCTTCTACCGAATTTGCAAGAAAAAAAAAAGTGGAAAATAATGAGGCGATTTCAAAAGGAGCTAATCAAATGTCGCAAGATGAGGATCTACGCATTTAAAAGCACCTAGGGCAAGTTGAAAAGGTAGATAATGTGGGAAATGTGTTTTCTCGGTAACTTACCAGGATCCATGTTATAAGCCTCTAGTTCACCGTCTTCGTCAGATCCGACTTCCAGCTCAGGCTCCTCCATACCGCTAGCAAGAGATGGTGGCTCCTCTCTGAGACAGAGATAGATGGATAAGTGAAAGTTACTTTTCCGTAAAGATTGATATACAAAAAAGATGAAAAATAGAGCTTGGATCCACTGCAATTCAAAGCAAGGCAAGCTACTGGTCTAGAAGTAAAGTTATGGCAACTAATGGGAGGCTGGAAAGCAATCCTCAGACAATAAAGGGTGAAGAACTCGCCATGATACAGATAGGGGTCAGGTGAACAGACGAGTGAGACAATCAAGATACCCCTTCAAAAACTCTACTTCAATAGGCGGTTCCACAAAGTCGTCTCTATGCACCGTCCTCAATTTTTGAGATCCTTGTTTATTTCAAACTAGTTGAGGAAGGGTAGTTCTAAAAATTTGAGTATCGGCTAGATGGTCAAATTACAAACTTAACGAGATCGTTTAAGACGTAAGAAATCTACCACCTTTTTGCACAAAAAATCAAGGAATTAATTTAAGCCCTTCTAATAGGATTTTGACAAATTCGGGATAGTCTAAAACTCCTGGAAGTTAAGTGACAATAGACGACAGAAAACAACCAATCAGATGACTGGATGTATGTCAGGGGATCCAGACACTGTCTCCTACTACTTATATTTCCATGATATTGTCTCCACCCTCAATCAAAGCCAATTAAGAGGCTAGTAAAGTGTTCTGCAAATCCCTAGACTATCAAAAAGCCGGTCCAGAAATTCTGCCTGGAAAGCTAGTGTGCTAAAGGCGGTGAGGGGAAGAAGCAGAAGACGCTTCAAATTTGTGGGGACTGAAGGAATTGAGAAACGCCTCAACTCCTTGACAAATGCGTCCAAGAGTAAGTTGATCCACGAGGGGGAGGTAATTTTTATTCTCACAAAACCCCAATGCTGGAGGAGAAGCTTTCAGAGTAAAGAAGGGCTTGAAGTAGACTGCAAAATCTAACCTGTAAAGTATTTCTATTTACGGAAAAAGGCATTAAAAAATCCTAATCCATCTTATTCTATGGAAGGAAAAAAGAAGTGGTCTGGAAAAGCCACCCTTCCTTGGTCTACAAATACTAGGGACTACTGAAATGGAGGAGTCTACAAAATCACTTACATGGTGTGGAAACGAACCTTTGTCTTAGTTCTAGTCTTTCTGGAAGGGCGATTTAACAAGACACATAAAACGTGAAAAAATCTTATAAAGGAGACATGCTAGCAAATTTTGAGTAGAATACAAGGAAATCTTGAACAGTTGCCATGATGTTAGGTTGTCTAGCATGTACCAGAGGGTTCAATAGGTCGGAAAGGGAGGAGGGGGAGAAGGATGAAAAGAAAGAGAACAAGAAGAAGGAGAAAGAGGAGGAGGAACAGGACGGGAAGGAGGAGAAAAAGGAGGAGGAAGAGAAGGTAGAGGAGGAGGTGTATTTGAGGCTGCAATTAATGGACGCGACAACTGTTAGACCCCTTCAACAATGCCAAAATGGACATGAAATGCAGAGCCACACTTACGGTCTCTCATAAGTCTGGAAGGTCTCTTTCTCTTTGAGTTCCCGAAGAGGATCATTGCCCAGCTTATACTCCTTCTTGGAGAGTTTGTAAGTCTCACCACGATTGCGAGTACATAACCAGACGCTGATAATGATGACAATAAGGATGAATACGATTGCAATGACTACAGCCGCGATCCATGCGAAATTGGTAGCACCTGAGAGAAAACGAGGGACAAGGTTCAGGAGTGGAGGTTCAGCGGTTCGCCTTTCCAAATAAACTATTTGACTAATCGTTTGTTCCCTCCATCCAGTTAGTCATCCATCTGCATTTCTATCTACCCATCCATCCATCAATCAGGCATTCTACCCATCCTTCCACGCTATCCTACTACACACCTTAGGAAGGAAAACACCCTCCACCTACTTTGTCTTACAACTTCTGAGAACGTCCTACTGACAGTCAACGTATCCTTCAACGCTCCCTCCTCCTCATTGTACGAGTCATAGATTTTCTTCTGGTCATCCATCACCGTTCGTTTCTTCCGCGCTGTAGATCCACTGGAGGATTCTTCCGTATACTTGACAAATTTTGCTCTGGAGTTATTCACAAACAACTGGAATCGACATTCCAGTTGGAGATCTGTCAACGGGCGTGATAGACGAGCTGATAGAACATCCTGCAGAGTCTCCGTAGGTGAAGATGTGGATAAAAGTTGCAGGTTAGGTGATAATGATGAGGAGGAGGCCAATGATGTCGTCAAAGTGGTTAGTGGCAAATCCGACGTTTTTGACAACTCGGAGATGGTCCTGTAAGGTGAGACTCGAAGTGTAGACTAAAACGGAGGAAAGAGAAATATCGCTGAAGTGGGTGGAGTGAGGAAGAGCAGTGAAAGGGTAGTAGAGCACTTTCAATGTGTATTTACGCGTCCATTAATCGCTAATTACTTAATCTTGGGCGTGGTCAAAGCCTGAGCAGACCCGTTAACCAATTAAATCATGACAATAGGGAAAGAGGGTGTTCAGGTGGGGGTAATGCAAAAAAGAAATCAATGACGTTGAGGTAAGCAAGAAATCAAAAATTACAACCTTGATCTTGAATAGGATGAGGTCCAGGCATTCTTAAAATAAAGAATAAATTACAGATTAAACAGAACTTAAAAAGTCCAAAAGGTGGTTTTATATGGGGTTTCTGAGGAAAGAGAAGTAGCTCCTACTGGTCAAATTCAACAAATTTGCAACTCTGCTAGAATACATATCCATCAAAGAAGCTAGTGGTTGTTGTGGCTGTAGGCTGGTTCATTCTCCTTCCATCTACACAGCCATCTATCCATCCATCCTACATCTGTCCTTTTGCTCATCCATCCCTCCATTCATCCTGTATCCATTCGCCTATCTATGTATCTACTACGGCAGTTTCAAGAGATCTCATTTCTTGTCAGTCGACCAATCAAATTAACTACTTGAAGTCGAATGGCACAGTGATGAGGAGGAAAGAAAGATAAAGACGTCAGGAAACCAAATCCCAAACAAACAGCCCTTCCACATGCTCCGAGTGCCGGATCACCTCCCTACATTGCTGGCCTCTTCCACTGCCATTCCACCTGAAGGTAGTTGGAGACGTAAACAGTCTCCCCTTCCATTGTAACGATGGTGCCAAGAGAGGTCTGTGTTCCATCCCTCCAGCTGTAAGACCACAAGGTGCCAACTCATGAGATGGAAAGACGAGAAGGGGAATGCTGGAAGGTGAGGGAGGAAGGAGAGAAGGAAGTGGAGGTGATTGATGGATGTGAAGAGAAGAATTGGAGGGATAGACGAGGATCCGTCAGTAAAATCGAGGGTCGCCTCCACCATGCAGTGAGCACACGTGTAATTGCGTGTGCAGTTGCTTGTGTGTGTGTGTGTGTGTGTATGTGGTTGTGCAACTTTACTGTTCTGAGTCCTCGTTTCTCACCTCTCACTTCTTGCTACCTGTTGCCTGCTACTTGATGCTTGTTGCTTTACGCCTTCTGCTTTCTGCCTCCTCCAACTCTCCTGCCTTCCTGCCTGTGTGTGTGTGTGGTGGCGGTGATGTCGTTCCTGGCATCAGGAGACTTAGAGGCGGTGTTGTCAATGTGGGTGAAGAAGTGAGTGAATGAGTGGGTGGGTGGATGAGTGAGAAACAGAAGCATTGGAGGCCCCGACCAATCGTTTCACCTCTCTCCTACGCCTGGAGTCAAGATCAGATCCCACACCTCCTCCATGAGTCACAAACTTCGCTGAGATCCCTACCTTAAGGTTGGATCTACGAGCTTGATGATTCACGACTCCTGTTACTTACCCCTCTCGTAGTAGATTTTCCCAGAAAGCTCCTTTGCGTTGGCAGAGATTCAAACTGGACTGAGTGATTAGGGCAGCAGCGACGTCAAATGAGACACCGTTGTGGAAGACTCTTTGAAGATGTAGGAGGCCTTTGATGAGATGAGGTAGTCTGCCATTATTTAGCCGCAGCCAATTTTTTCCCCTATTTGCTCCCCACATTTGGGTGTATACTTCATGAGGACTACCTTTTCTGTATTGCGCCACATTCCGTGTAAATCAGTTCCAGCATCCGGAATCAACTTATTCCTCACTTCCTGTTGGTTTGTAACGTGCTACCTGACCTTTATAACGGGGATAACAGCCTAGACCCCGCAGAGGCGATAGTAGTAAAATTTTTTGACCAACCAACTACTTAGTATCTGAGGAAGAATTTCTACTCCGTTCCAGCAGACGACATCAAGACGTGCACAAATATCGTCAGATGCAGTCAAGATGGTGTTGAAATGTTGTGTTGGCTACGATGTCTCTCAAAGTTGTCGGTGAACATCTTCTGTGTAGCGAGTACTAAGAGGGCGCCCTGACTCATCAACAAACAAAGTGCTAAACCAGTTAGAAAACAAAATCCATGGCCTTCCTACACGGAAATGTAGGCAACCTTAGAAATGAACCCTTCCAGACTTGAGAAATCCAAGTTGGAAGCATTTAGATTGATCAAAAGCAGCATACATATTCAAAACAGGCGTCTAACCGACCCAAGAACTCACCGGATTGGCTGAATCGAAGACAAAGTACTTGGCCAGATCTGGATCACCCATAACCATATCCATGGTAAAAGTTCGTGCCAGAACCCATCCTTGGTGTTTCACGATGTTGAGGTTTGCCCACTGTTTCACTATAGCAGCTGCAGGAATGCAGTAAACATCGAAGGGCTCTTCATTACAATCCGAGCTACAGGACATACGTGATGGGGCCACGTCTAACGCTGGTTTGGCTAAGAGAAGGAGCACAGAGAAAAGCTTTCAAACCAATCAAAATCAAAGAGAGAATTAAGTGGTATAGGAGATAATGTTTTACCATCGAACAACTCCAAACATGTTTGCAAGCGTATACTGATGGCTAGCACAATGGAGGGTTCCTTGTAAAGCCTTCAAGCCAATTAAAATCAAGCGAGCCATCAAGATGGACGAATCGTGAACAGTGAATTTCATTCACAGAAAATCATCTTTAAATTCACCACCTATAAATTTTGTTCAATCCATAGATAAGAAGGCAAAATGTTTGTCATAGGACCATCTTAAACGATTTGATTGGTTTTTTTGCCAAAATGACCTTTACAGACTCTTACAGTGGTTATAAAGTCACTTAGTAACTGAGAAAATGGAAAATGTATGAAGCAAAAAAGCGCTTGCAAGTGGGGGAAGAAAGGATCATATTTCGTGGAATTATGTTGCCAATATAGCTGCCAAAGCTACCCAAGAACGTAACTTAAGAGGGGTAAGGCACATTACTTGGAAGTGGAGCCTTCAAAAAGGTTGGCAAAAGGTGCCTCTTCTACGGTAAAATCGACCAAAGGGATATTGTCATGAAATTAGTGATCATTTTTACAGTTAGACGGGTTCTGAGCTGTCTAAACTTGATATTCGTCAGTTTGAGGCTGACAGAAATGTTAGAAGCAGAGGCACAACTCGGGATTCCACCAGAGGGAACAAAAAGATCCAAAGGCATCAAATGGTCTGTGCTTCTGCGGCTTCGATGACAACTCCCCTCTCCCCCCGACCTTGAAGTTCCAGGTCACTTATCCAGAGTGGGTGGTGTCCTTCAAAAGGCCTAACTGATCCGGACAACGTCTGACAGTATGACAATGCCAACGAATGATATGATGAACTTTGGACAATTCCAACTCACCGAGTACCTGACTTGGACCTTTAGAACTAGCCAAATGTGCAGAGAGTAAAACGATCAAAATTTCAGCAAGTCCAAACCTGTGGACAACAAATGACCTCGCAGTTACATCCACTGGTCAGTTTAACCCTACAACATGCGTCACATGACAATGACAAAACGCTGAACGCCTTTCCCAGTAGACGCTTTAAATTGGCAATTGGAAAATCTTCTTCTTCCGTTTCTTTAAAAAAGCAGAATGCTCCTCCCTTAGCGATGAGATGGAAGGACAAAGCTGAGTATGAAGTATTTTTGGAGTTGAATACTCTAAAGCACCTCCTGGCACGTCAAAGCCGCCAGACCATTCAACCTAGGGGGAATGTGAGTCAAGACCCGAACTTACACACAACCTGTCGAGTCGAGGAGAAATAACTAAACATTTATGCGTGGATTATACACTCTCTTCTCCCACTCCTGCCTCCACTTTCAGTTTAGAGGAGAACTTACGCACAACTCGTAGAGTACCCGCCACTAATGCCTGTCCGTACGCATTGATAGCCTTCACTGAGAGGCGGAAATTTTGCCCCGCTGTTAGACCCTTCACCTCCACTGCCACACCCATGACCGATTGGCTGCGTACACCAAATTGTCTGAAGTCAATGTCCAATTGCGCGATTGGTTGATTCTGCAACTGGAGTGAGGAGCTGAGCACTTTCCTCAACTGCTCTGCGCTTACTGCCTCAAATCCATTTATGCCCACACGGAATTCTACGGCATCACCTTCCCTAGCGTTTAGGAAGCAACTGAATCGCTTTGAGGTGCCCTCTAACGCGTAGAACAAATCATCAATACAGTTGATGTCCTTAAAGGTCGGAGGGCCCACTACAGAGACAGTAAAGGCAAATTTCAGACGTTGAGCACCTCCCTCCATCACACGAAGCTCGTAGATGCCCGCAAAGCTGCGTTCAACTTTGTTCGGAAGGCGGAAGGATGTAGCTGTCGCCTCTGGATCAATCAATCTTACATCATCTTTAAACCATTCAGCTCTTAGAGCGGATGTTGCAGACTGAGGAACGCGATAAAAGGCGAGAAGTTTAAAATCTGATAGCAGAGTTCCTTCAACAAATTGGTAGTTTGCTTCCTGCGGCGAGATGGCTTCAAAACCGCCCATATGTTTCGGAGGAGCATTAGGATTCAGAGTGAAGCCTTTTGTGATTCTAGGCGTCGTTTGTGGAAGGAAATCCGCCGCAAAAACGCGTATGGGTTCGGATGCTGAGCCACGTTTCAGGCAAACAAAAGCAATGTTTGGATTTTTGGCCAATAATGCGTCGGAGAGAAGAAAAAGCGTCCCATCCATAGTTGTGACGCTGTCTCCTAAGCCCAAGCTTTCATGATCTTTTGCGCAACCGACGGGGGTTGTAAAATCACCGACTTTACAATAAGCCCATTGAAATGGAGAGAGATATTGCTGCCAAACTGCGGCCATCCAAGAGGGCCAGTGACGGATCTTTCCAGCATAGTCACCACAAGAGAATTTGAGAGGGAAATCCCGTGGGGAAATTTCTGCGATTTGGACCTTCTCAACGGTATTTGATTTGGTGACACCAAGTTGAGTGGCATAGAATATCGCATCACGAAGATCAATAATGTTGGACTGAATAGTGGCTTCTGAGTCCTGAACTTCACAGTAAAGGTGTTCATTGTAGGGAAAACTTTGTTCACGGATAGGGCTAAATTCAAGAGAGAAATTAGCTCCACGATATCGGTCGAAAGTATAGTTAAAGTATATTTTGTTGCAAGTAATTTTGCCGGTATTTGGTTTACCACTAAGACGGTGACAAGCGAATTTTTGGTCTGGAGGGCTGCAACAGAGTTTAACTTCGGTCAATGGACTGGAGCGCCGTGAAACCTCACAGGAAAAGCGAACGACATGTGTAACAAGGCTTGAGGAGCCGAGGAAATAAACACTTCGGGTGATTCTGGAGGTGGCGTCGATCAGAACGTCCGGACTGTTGTCCGTGAGGTAGACATTTTCTTCATTACTAGCGCCACCCACTGGTATAAACTCCAGAAGTTCATATTCGAGCTGAGCTATAGAGAACCAGACAGGAGCATTATGGGTAATGGTTAGTACAAAGCAATAAACAAGCAGATAGCGGAACGTACCATATGCATAAAGGGAAAGAAGAAAGCAGAAAGCTAGTATTTTAAAAAGCCACATAACCGCACGAGACGAGCACAAATCGCGCGAGCGAAACAAACTAGAATCGAACGTTAAGGTGTGACCTAAAAAGACTCTAGTGGAACAGTAAAACAAATTTGCAGCTAACCTAATTATTTGTCTTTAGACATTTATTGCAGCAAAGTAATAAAAACAGAATAATTAAGCACGTAAGAGCAAATCTTTTGCAGTAGTGTGTGCGACATTTACTTGCAGTACTAGGCATCAAATATGATCAACTGAAATGAGGCCTATGTAATAATAAATAATTTTCGCAAGTCTTTTCCACTTTAGGCTTAAAGTGTAGAGTTTGTTGAGGCATTTAATCTGATGCATGACCTGTCTAAATATCGATGTTTTGCAGAAGCATTTAATAGTTTATTAGTTTTAGAATGAAAACAATGTGAATTAATATCTGATGCATTTATAATTGCGCTGAAAATACTTAAAAACTAATGTGGCAATTAAGACTGGGCACAGGAAAATTAAAAATGATAATAGATGTATATGTTTACCTGTCGCAGATTTCTTATTTAACTAAGCATAGATTTTCATCTGCCTGGAAAATTTCTTTAGGACCAATATTTTATTTTCCAGAGCTTCACCTATCCGAGTCCTATTGTTTTGCATTTCAAAACCCCAATGGGTTACCCACTCCACAATCAGCAAATTGGATTGCTTTGTCAAAAAACGACCGTGAAACAGGGGTTTTATGCAAGAGATAAGGCGATTAATGAAAGAGCTTTAGTGACATCTGTTAAGATTTGCCTCGTTGATTCTTATTTCCAAACAGCAGTGGAGAGCTAAACCGAAACGCTTGGATTGTTTTACCAAAATACGAGAACTGCCATCCGTAACGATCCAATTCCGACTCCTAAACTATGATACTTGACAAAAACAACTGCCTAAAATCACATTCCTGCTCTTCATTAAGTACACCCCAAAGAGCCATCTCGGGGGTCCACATGTGGTTGATAAGCTGAAGTTAAAGGCTGACTCAAATGACTGAAAAAATGTGTTCTCCGACCGACTAAACCCATCGAAAAACCTCTTGGACCAAAATAAAGTAAGTGCCACTGAGGGTTCGAGAGTAGTAATAAAATTTGTTCCGTGTGGTAATTAAGTACATTTAATGCATACGTATTTACGTCCTGGAGGGGGGAGTGAACATGAATATTGCACTGAATCGGACACACATAAATTATGAACTGACAGAGAGTATAAAACCAGACGAAAAGAAGACAAGGGCGCAGAAATTAAAGACAAAAAGAAGGAGATGAAGCGGGGAGTCAAAGTTGGTACTTTACAACGTCAGGTAGGGGACGAGACGTGCGACGCTGCTCCGGATGCTGGGTGGGCGGGGACTGAGGGGGTGAGCGTGCGGGCTCCGTTTCCATAGATCGCTCCATCAACGGTGTCATGTTTTGACTCTTGCGCACCTTCGCCTTAATTGGCACTGCTCGTCCCTCCGCTTTCCGTAGTTTCGTCTAACATGTTAAAAGCATGATGCTACTAATTAATTTTTTAGTAGGGCACGGTTTAAACGAAAAAATAACCATCGGTGATAGCGAACGAAAAATATAATCAACCTTTAATATTTCTCATGTCAATAGCCTTTAGGGTGCTTTCAAACTGGATGCCGAATTCGCTATTCACGCTTTGGTTTGGTGACAAGCAACACTTGACAAAATGTCGCAGGGAGGGAATACGGAAGACGAGGCTGGGACAGCATTTTCCCCTCTTTCATCGTAAAGGCTACACCTCAAATAACAGTTTCATCTTTTTTGAGCTAGCTGGTTATAATTCCTTTTCAAAGTGTTTCATCACCATTATCAATCATGTCAATAGCGCAGAAAGCTGTCCCCAATTATCTCAATCAATGTCAACGCCGACTTCTTGACTACCCTTGGGAGGAGAAACGCCTCCTCCTGAACATGATAGAGGATCTGCCAATAGAACTAACCAAAAAGACGGCATTTCACTAGAATAACTGAAAGAATTGCTTACAGAAGTTTTATGAGAAGTTGACGGCTGCATCACTTCACTACAGTTCACATTGACTTGCCCAGTTTCCTTCGTCTCGCCTTCCTCTGCTATTTCCGGCGGTGTCACAGAACTGGACAGATCTGCTAAATTAACCAGGGAATAATTTGTAAAACAAAGTTGAGAACCATTTCACCAATGCAACGCCTAAGCACAACAGCAACCTACTGAAATACAATTAAGCAGGTAACTGGCACTTCAGGGTCACTCACTTTCGCTGTCGACGTAACGAAAGTCCTGCATTTCGAGGAGGATACGAGAGACATTGGGGTTACGAATTGGTGGCGGTGTTTGTGTTGATGGTGGGTTTTCTGAGGGTTCAGCGTAGATCTCCTCCTTCCTCGAGCGATCTGAGAAAAAACGTTGAACACTCAACAAAAAGCAAGCATACAAGAGCTGATCGGCTCGTCTAAGGTTACGAAAAATGAAGAGATGGGATCGCACATTCCTTCCATGTAGCTGCAAAGAGGATGAGAGGCGGTGCTAAGGATTTGAGCCATCAGGAAATACGAATAAAACACCAATGTCAGGCAGCTTTTGCAGCACTCTCTACCTGGAATTTCCACATAAGCATCGCTGCCGACATCCGTTGTCAGCTCCACGACGACATGAGAGTCATAGGAGGAACGCGGGGCTGCCTCTTGGCTCGCATCCCCTTCTCCGGGGTACCAGTAGACCCCCTCGTAGTCTGCCTCCGGCGGCTGCTGTACAAGAGGGACGGGATGAAAAAACCTCGCTACGGAAACAATGAGCTAAGGAGATGTGATTTTACAGCTTCAGTAGGAGGCCGCCGATTATCCGACAGGAAAGTTGGCAATGCGTTGCGAGCTCGCAGGCTTGCGATGGATTCACGCACGGTGATGTTACGATAGTGGCCGCTTTTGCCGCTACCATAAGTGCTACCCCCATAATCACCACTGACGCGGGGCACAATTGGTGCTTCTATGACACCAGTATTGGTGGCAACGGATGAAAGAACAGGAGCTGTAGATCGACGATTGTCAGATGAATTGTCAACTATGCGAACAAGGCACAAGGTGAAATGACATTTACATAAAACTTGTATAAAGGAGAGGAAAACATTTCAAGAAGTGCGAGCAGCATAATCGCATGCTATATTTATGAAGCATTTAAAGGGGAGTTTCGGCAGCAGTCGGTACTGGAAAGTGGATGCAGTTGACTCACTCCTCGATTGTTGTTGCGGCTGATTATTTTGACGCCGTCTCAATCCGGATTGAAGCATCTCAAACAAGTGTAAACCATTGAAACTGGTTGCACTGCGAGGTCTTCGTGATAGCTCGTTGCTGTGGTTATTATTGCTACTGTCAGTGCAGCAATCGGCACTCTGATTGGTGGCAGGTCGATGGAAGTTGAGGAGGTGCTCCACCTCGGAGAGCCGGTAGGCTCGTGAGGGGACAGGAGGACCTGCGTGAGAAAACACTAAGTAAAAACCCATTATTCCGCATGGAGAACGAAAGGCTATCCAACATCCTACCCTGAAAGTAAATGCAAAAAAATGAGGAATGAAATCCTGGATTTCTACTCAAGTGCAAATAAGTAGTACATCCTACCAGGAGCAACTTCATGATTCCCCTGACTCCTCACCGCCCTCCGATACCCACCCAGCACTCCGTTGCTCCCTTGACAACCAGGAACAGCATAAACAATATTCGATCGCATACGAACAGGGTTGGGGGCTTGGGGATTCCGAACTTGGGCGTAAACCGCCTAAAATTTAAGTGAGCAACAAGTTAGAACTTACAAGTTGTGCGCACAAAAGATTTTACAGACGAGCCAACTGACCGGAGATTGACTTGGCGCGACTGCGGGCGCTTCCTGATAGAAAGGACTCGATCGGTTGGGGTCATGGAGAATTGACGAGTAGTAGGGAAGGGCTAAAGAACCTCCTGAACCCTCACTATCCACACCATTCCAGAAATCCGCCCTCTTAGTTGTTGGCACCACAACTGAATTGGCGGCTACGGCGACTGCGGTTGAGGTTACAACTGAAGAGATACAAAGTAATGATACTGTGTTCAGGCTCGGTGATGATGGTGATGGTGAAAACCAGAGCAATGCAGTAAGCGATGCAACGCACCTTCAGATCGAGTTCTGGGAGTGGCCGAAACACCAGGCAAACCAACGCTAGCGTAGAGGGGATCTGATTCCGACGGTTCGCAGAAGGAGTATGGACGATTCCCATCAATTATATCGACATTTCTACTCTCTACAATCTAAAGGGGGGGGGGGGAACATTCCACGTGATCAGATCATTTGAGGACATGGAAATATCCCCTCGAAATTTAATTCACGAGAGGGAAATAAGCCTATCAAAAAGCGCGAGCCGAATTTCACTACTTGTGGTTTGTAAGTGGTAGCCCCCTTCTATGAGATGAGTAAAAAAATATTGTCACGAGGACGTGATTCTAAACTTATATGTTTTACGAAAACGAGTTTAACAAGGGTTGCAAGGTTGCACAAACTGCTCGTCAACTTTGTCATTTGATATTTGAAAAAGACGTGTTACGCGACAGCAGGACTAGACAGGGGAGCAGGTAGGGGGTAACCCGGCACCCCATGCCACTACAAAACAGCTGTGAGATTTGCCCTTCAGGAGGAGAAGCACTACTGTCTCATCGCCAGCGTCTGTAATCCCATCATACAACATACCAAGTAATTAACAGTTTTTCTTGGCATTAGACAATCATGTGGGAAAGCTCGCAAGGACCTGAGACATCCATGAAGGTCATAGCTCCTAGGCACAATCCTTCCAAAGGGGAAATCACCTTACTCCATAAATGAGACGCCTCCTCAGTTAACAAGTCCCATGGAATCATCGAATTCCATGGACGGTGATGCTGCATTTAGGGGGACAGAATTTGCTACCCTCCACTGCTAGGTGGCATCCCAGCCAAATAAAGAGGAGCTTTTAGACCTTGGCTTGAAGTGAGCCATTCTTCACACTCTCGATGAGAATGCAACCGCTTTTGAAAGCCACTCTCTACCAACGAGAACTACTTCATACCATCAAAATCTGTAAAGTATTCCATGGCGTGGATAAAACCGACACTCTGACGGCTAGATGGAGCTCCATCCACCATTAATGGAATTTCTGGGACTCGCGCGGCCGCTCAAAACCTCCTCAAATGTCCTGAGAAAAGGAAAAAAGGTGGAAAAAATACTCAAGCTTTTATGCGATTGGTTTACCTCAAGGCTAAAGTAGACCTGCTTAGGTCCAACGAGGAGAGGCGAAAAGGCAATTGAACAAAATTTTCCTCATTTGTGTCAATCCTCCCGCCCCTTCTTTTCTGCCTCAAGTGACATTTGTGGGGTGATAAATCATAATTACTACCACCACTGCCTCAACCAACGTCGTCATTAGTACTGACACAAGAGGCAAAAAGAGGAAAGACGAGAAGAAACAGTATTTGGCACAGTTATTTGAAGTTGGCACGCTTTGGACGCATGCCAAGTAAACCGCCAAGCCAATGTGGTAGATTTTTGGCTTCAGATCATTAAAACTGACAATTTCAGGAATGTAGAAAAGAACGCCCCATAGGTCATAAAAAGGAGTCCCAGTGGGTTGCAAATACACCTTCACAAACTGCGAGCACCCATTTCGATGGGCAATGATATTGGGACAATACAGTCCTCTTTGGTCCTCCCAAGTGACCACCATCTCTTTGTTCGTATCGGCAATGCTGGGTTACCAACTACTTTGCCATACCAAAAAGGTCCAAAATATTCGGATCTTCAACAGAATAATTAGAAAAGCGTAACGGCTCAAAAAGTGCCATCTCCTACTCACCGGATCGAAAGCAGACAAACTGACTAGAATCCTCGGAGTTAACAAGGGCCTGAGATTGTTGGTGATCTAGAGCGAGAAGCCTCATAATTTATAGATTACTATTTTAAGGATACGGTTACAAAAATCTACCGACAATAAGAACTTAACGCAAACGACAGGTCATTACAGAGACAAGGAAGGAAGCCTCGTGCATTCGCGGTTGATAATTAGTATATTTTGGAGAGTGGGCGCGAATGTCATGATTTCTTAGCTGTGGTAGTTAAACCTCTTCCCAAGATTGAATGAACTTGCAGCAGTACCGATTAGATTTGTGGAAAACTTCTTCAAGTATCTTGTTCATTGAAGCAATCACCACCACAAGCCCGGGAATTCTACTCTACTGAATGGGTTTGTCTCCCAAATATAGCAACCTAACACCACCCTAGCCACCCCTCTTTCCCAATCGTCACCTAAAGGTACGTGAATCAGAAGGACAGAGGGGAAGAGGAAGCCGTACCACCTAAAGTGTGCATCGTTTCACAAGAGAACCTTTCAACATAATGCCTTGTAAGAAGACTAGTCCTGTTCGCGTACACCTTCATGTTGTAGCCGTGTGTAACAAAAGGGTGGATATCTCTGGCAACAATTACTGTTTGGACTTCAACGAGTCCAAACAGCTAAGGATTTCGTCTATAATTCACCACACAGCCATAAAGTAGGAGGGAATGGTGTGGGGACGATTTACAGATAACCAATGAAAGGCTTGTTGGCTTACCGAACGGCGGAAATAAAAAGGCCATTTCGTACCAAAAATCATCTAGATGATCAAAGTTGCTTTTATAGCGTGCAGTGAAAAACAACAAACTAGATGTCTTTGAAACGTTACCGCCTTCGCCTACTTTTTTATGTATAGTATGTAGGTGAAACCCATACGCCCAACAGCTACCACTATTTTCCATTTCGAATTGAAGTCCTTCATCACTCACATAAAGACAACTCAAAGTCCTTTTTTGACAAGTCAATCCCGAATTATTTTGACTATTTGCAACAGGACAGGCAATCGTCCTGAACTTTATCCTTAATATGTTCTTGAGGTAAACGTTATTCTGACGGCGCATAGTTTACACTCTCCAAACGATAGACAACCAGTTTGACAAGTAGCACCTACAGCTTCGGAGCCGTGTTAAGCAGGATTTGTAAAGCAGACAAGCGCAAAACACATCCAGTACATTCAACCGACGCCTGATGGTACGAGAGGGAAGTTGTGGGGAGTACAACAATGTTTACCGTACTGTGCCGATGAAATACTGATGCGTGCTTTACAATGCACGCATTTTGCAGGTGCTTACAGATTACAAGAGGTCATTGCGACCAGCCGTACCGAAAACGGCACTAACTATTCAGGTCATTTAGTTCAGTTCAATAAATAAATTCAAGAGTTGCCGAACCTGTGGAAGGCTTGCTCAGCATTCACTAAGTCCAGGATTTCAAAAGTCGGAATTTCGCCTCAAAAACAGTAATTCCGCATTTTCATAGACGCGTCCACCACCTACCACACCAGTTCTATGGAAACCGGGAAGTAAAAAGGATCCAAATATCTGGACGTTGGAGAGTGACTTACTTCCCCTTTGATAGTGTAAATCTCCGATTGTTTTGCTGTAATTTGACCTGCTTAATCAAGGATGCTATTTACTGACGAAAAAGATCATTCCACTTCCAAAGAAGAATCGACGTCTAACATCTTTAGGCTACAAAGTTATTGCAATGTTAGCGGATATTCTGGACAGTTTTTAGCTCCTGGCCATTCTGTATTGCTTGGATGGTGTAAATCTAATTATTAGAGCATAGTAATCATTCATGGAATGGGACGACCCCAGTCCTGGAAGATATTCAACGACTAAAGCTTAGAAACAAACGGAATGCCTCGTGAGATAAGATTTCAAGCATTGCCAATAAGTAGGCAGTGAAAACGACTCCAGAATAGGAATTGCTAAGTAAATCGAAGTAACTGCACACAGAGGGTAGCCAGGTGAACTGCCCGTTCTGATGAGTGTGCCCAGCATTAGCAATGTCAAAATCATCCAAACAGGGTCAAACATTCTCAACTTACAATCTAAAGCCAAAGTGACAAAACACCATTTTCGACAAGTGCAATATATTTGAAGAAATAGGGCAAAAACTCCCAAGTGGTAGACTTAGGAACGGATGATCGCACATTAGACCTTCTCAGATAAAAGACCGTTGCTTCAAAAAACAATCTACAAACGTATTCAATGGATTTTTTTACAAAAGTTCACGTGATAAAGTGCCCAACCAGAAAATAATTTGATGCTCAAAAACAAGTAGTATGTCTTAATGGATTTCATGAGAGGCTTTTGGTTGCAATAGCCAAATGTTTACTAAAATGGTTCCAAAAATGAACTACATGAATGTCATGAATTCAAATCCAAACAAAAAGACGAGAGCTGGAGAAAAAACACACTTTTATGTGTTTAGTTAAAAGCAATATAATAAGCCCTAACCAATCGACACGAAGTGAATTCTTGTGGCAAAATGAGTATCAAGCACTGAGAAAATTTAGAAAAAAGTGTTGCGAAAAGGTGCATGTACTGAAAATGATATAAAGGCCAATAACAAAAATTCAGGCTGAAAAAAGGAGACTTACATTGGAAGCAAGGGCCGTGGCTACCGGAACAGGTGGCAATTCACAGTTTCGTTTACCTCTGAAGGGTGAGAAAAAAAATGTTTATTTGTTTGAGGGAGGGTCGGAAGTAAAGTATCCAAAGCAAACATAGTTTCACATGCAGGCAGTCAATTAAGCCAATCGGCCTCAGTACTTGCAAATATTCAGTGAAATTGGCAAATAAGCATCAACGAATTACACCAACATAGAAATAAACGAAGAAAGTATACCCGAGAGTAAAACAATTGCGACTGCCGTTCAAGTTCGAATTTACGGAGTTTGTTGTACTAGGAGGTTTACGAATCGTATTTTTCTCTTCAACGGACTGTAAAATAAATAGGGTATCATAAGTTACTGTGAACAAAAGTGCTTAAGAAGGATAAATAACAACCGAAAAAGTCAGCTCACATTACTGCACAACTCTGTCTTCTTTCGTTTCTTAAAACAGGATAGTAAAGAAGAGGATTTGCCGCTACAGAGAACCAGGTTTAATCCATAGTCAACCTTACTTATCGTTTCTGCAAAAACTGAACATCAGGAAAACACCAAGCACTACTGATGGAGGTAGTTGTTTATGGGTTAGAGATCTTAGGGGCTTGAAAGTTTGCATGCTACAGCAATTCTAAGTTAGAATTGCTTTAATCCACGTCATTCGTGGCAGAACCCCCACAGGCGCAATACGTGCCGATCGACACCACCGTCATACACAAACTCAACTCGATGGCCTCACTTCTCAAGGTCATATAAAACCATTTAAAATTTAACTCATCTGCTATTGTTTTAAAATTCTCTGCACCAATGCTACAGACTTCAAAAGCTTATTTTTTAATGTAAAAGACAACGTGACTGTAAATTTTGCGAAATTTACTTTAGATTAAAATGCTCCGAAACCTTATGCCTACGTGCCCTCCTTAAAGTCGACGTTCATCGAACAGTTGCAAAATGCTTTCGTTTGCTCTTTAAACTGGTCATCACTGAGCAGGTTTGCATGTTTTAGGTGCCACTCTACTGTTAACAATCGCCACTAATGTTGATATGTCGCGTGTATCTGCATTTACAGTTGCACTTCATTGTAAAAATTTCTGGGATGCCATGGTTTCTATACAGCACATACAAACAGGAGATGGAAAATAATGTTCCCACAGACACTTTTTTTCGTCCTAATGCTTTGGAATTTGCTTAGAATCTACTATCAACTTGAATTTCTTCCGGTGCTGGTAAATATTATCAGATAACATTTTGTCTTTTTCTAGCCTTCCACATACAAAACGATGACGTTTTCAGAAATTTCGTTGTTGATATTCGGTGTAGTGGTATCAAGATATTGTCATTAAGTTGCTAGTCTTTGGATTATCTCATTAGTGTACTGACTCCCATTCATCTGATAGGCGATTGACATTTTTGATGCAATCAGCTCTGCCATGGCATCGTGTCAGTCCCGAAGCGTCTGCAAAGGTGTATTGAATATCTATGCTTTATAGTGTATTAGTACGAGAAGCAATTGGACATTAAATTGGAAGCTTTTATTTTACCATTTCCTTATTTGTCAGTAGGCTTTAAAGTGATATCTTGGCTTTGCTTACATAGTAAAAAACTAATCAACCCTCCACACATATGTAGTTATATTATGGGAACACTTTTGCTGGACACAGCAAAAAGCAAACTCAACGCCTGGGCGTGCACATAAAAAGACATGCTTTTATTGCTTACTCCACTGTAAAATATTTTTACATTTTGTAACTTACATCTATTTTCAAATGCTTTATTAAATGCGGTTTTCATTGTAAAAGAATGTTTCATGCATTTAATTATGTTAAAGCTCGAAGGTGAACAAACAATTTTTTAGAAGCGGAATTAAGTAGGCACTGTTCAGATGTGGAATTTATGCAAAACCAAAGTTCGGAGGTTTGCTCATTAATCATAATTTTAAAAATATTTCAAGTAAGAATGCACCCTATTTTCAAAAATCATTCATTCAAAATTGCAAAATTCATACCCGGTAGTTTTCTTGGGAAAAATACCGAAACTTAAGCTGGCCTGGTGGGAGGCATCACTGCCTCTGTAAATTACTTACATTCAAATAGGCAGTCTTTCATTTCAGTTTTTACAAACAATTCTTTTATTGATATGTTTCTCCTTCTCCTTTTTTCTCCCTTAAAAACCCTTTCCTGCAATCACTTTCCGCTATATAATTACTCACCGCCTAAAAGAATCAGCTGATCCAGTGATCAGCTGATTGAATGCAGGTGCTCGCAGTCAATATCCGCTTATCGATTGAATGGCCATGAAGTCTGACCGATATTTCGCCAGCTGGCATCTTATTGATTTTCCACGTAGGCGGGATGACCGGTTTTCAGTCAGCTGATCGTATTCACGGCATTTTACTGGTCAATTGATCTATCCTTGGACTGGAAAAAGAATTAATTTATTTGCTTTTTTGTGTAATTCGACATTTTATTGGTCATTTATACAATGTCCGCCTTTCCTGCTGTCGTAAGAAGGCACAACTCAGGGACAGAATACATATTACTGATATAGAGAAGGACTGAGAGGCTACTGGTATGGCCCGGATGCCATGCCGCCAAGCGGAAGTAAAAGCTGAAGTAACTTATGTATTCGCGTAATCAAACGCAGATTTAAGTAAACTGTTAATACATAGTTTACTTAAATCTTTGCTCATAATGGCAGATATAGCCTTGGTTGCTTGATCAACAAAAAGTAAAGCGTTTTACCTTTCACAATCTAAGTGAGACTTCCATTAGCAAAACTTTTCTATTTTTTGTTATTTTTTGCTTACTGAGAAAGGAAAAATCATTTTTTGCAGTAATATGGCTAAGAGATTAAGTTTTGGAGGGCACAAAGTCATTATTAAATCGTTAGGTGAAGTTTTAAAATTTAATTACACGTATGTGAGCCCAACTAATGCAAACGGGAAGGGCCCCAAGGAAGGCCCTCTTACTGGTCACAGACACGTAGATGGATGGATTGAAGGGGGTAAGACTGGCTGTAATGTCGCAGATAATTTCAGTCTTTTATTACAGGTTTATGCATAAGAGAAAATGGTGACTAGCCTTGCATTAACTATCCGTCCATTTATTCCCTTCTGCTCTTTTTCCTCCCGTTTCTCTGTACCTAAAAATACCTGTAAGCACGGGCATCTCCCAATATCTTCCTGGACAATTCAATTCGCCTTCCTTAAAGTCGTAGTGAGAGACATTTATCACCTGCGCAGAGAAGGCGTTGGGAATAAAAGTAAAGCATACGTCATTGAGGGTTCCTTAAAACAAGTAATAAAGCAGTATAGACGCGCTTTCTTCTACTATGACATTCATGGGACTCTGTGTATGTGCGTGTGTGTGCTTGTCTATAAGACATGATTAATGACTGGATCGGACAGGAAAACGGTCCAAATATTCAAAATACTGAGATCCTTGGAAAGCAGTTAGCACCAAGGAGAAGTCCATTTGGAAAGCCGCTCTACACAAAGAATATTCCCCCTGTCGATCGCTTCTCATGGTAGCACCAGGCTTAAGACAACGCTAAGAAGTGCAGACCCACGCTTCCACACTATGAGACTTTGAGACTTCCTCTCAAATTAAATTCTAATATGTGAAACCTACCTTCAATATGCCAGTTTTTACTAACCTGAACTGCAAATTAGGAATTCGGCAAAAGAAAGACGTCATGTTCCCTTACATTTGTACTAACTTTCCTTTGACCTAGGCGTTCATAGCGGTTTGGTAACCATCCAACTAACTGGGATTTGTTTCACACTTGGAGTGGGTTCGCTTACAATTTCTACTAGTCAGCAGGTCCTGCCAGGTTCCACCTTAAGTTACAACATGGCCTGCCAGTAAAAGTGAGAGGTTAAAGGTTAATGCACAAGGATTTGAAAGGAGGTTCGCTCTGCGTGGGCTGGAGAGGCCATTGTGGTTAAGTGGGCAGCAAAACAAATACCAGATCATTACTTACAAGAGGACCAACACCTCAAACAAAGCATTCAACACTGCCTGATGCCCAAAAAAACAAAGAGGAAGAACCTCATCGTTTATTAAATGTATCGACCTTCAGTGTTGGTTAGAATTTATCACCCTTATAACTGCCAACAGTATTTTCTCTTCAAAAAATAGACCAGCCACTCTTCGACCGATTGCAAATTGCAGTCTAGACCGCATGAGAAGTGCGGTTTCCTGCAACCCGTATAAGTAAAGAGGATCTTTTTCGTGCTGTACCCTTGACGTTAAAAAGACCGATTCAAAACGCCCCATAACTTTTTAAATCGTTGAATGTAGGTACTTTCAATGGCATATTTGCTATCTTTAGCCAAATCTTAAACAACCACTTGATTCCATAATTGTACGAAGAAAATTCTTGTGAAGACAAACTTTTACACTCACTAAAGCTTAATCTACATTAAAGTAATTTGCTCTTCCGAAAATTTTGGATTATTCACCAACCAAGGGAGCATATTACTTTGGATTGGATCTTCTAGAGTAGTTGGAAATGAAATAGCATAATAACGGCAGGCGCGTAACCATGGTTACATACTCCAGTCGGCTCCTGAAATAATTTAAGAACTCGTACCACCTAAAATTTTATGCTTATTTAATATTTTTGCTTTTTGTCACAAAGTGCTTTTTTAGTACCCTAAAAGAGAATTTTTTTACAAATCTATCTTTCATTAACCAGCAAAGTATTGGGGAATGATTGTTTCGTACATTAAGAAAGGCCTAACTTAGGACACTCAAAGTCTACAGCAAAAATAGCAGCATTTCAAATAGCTGAAATATGAAAAATCAGTCCTTAACCTGCAAAACAGTTGACGAATTGAATTGTCCAGGAAGATATTGGGAGATGCCCGTGCTTACAGGTATTTTTAGGTACAGAGAAACGGGAGGAAAAAGAGCAGAAGGGAATAAATGGACGGATAGTTAATGCAAGGCTAGTCACCATTTTCTCTTATGCATAAACCTGTAATAAAAGACTGAAATTATCTGCGACATTACAGCCAGTCTTACCCCCTTCAATCCATCCATCTACGTGTCTGTGACCAGTAAGAGGGCCTTCCTTGGGGCCCTTCCCGTTTGCATTAGTTGGGCTCACATACGTGTAATTAAATTTTAAAACTTCACCTAACGATGTAGAAACACGTGCGGCTGAATGCAATTTTACTTAAAATTCAAAATTTTATTAAACATTTTTAAAGTGAGGATGTGTATTTTAGAATTAAAACAAATTACAGGAATGTTTAATAATTTAAGGGGAAATTAATTGATTGGCTAGAGGTTCTGGCGAGTAGATTTAATTGACTGAAGTTTGCTTGATTAATTGTGCTAATTTATTCAAATTACTAGGTGACGGGTTCATCTGCTTAAAATCTTAGCTATATCCATCCTTCTTTCTATCTATCTATCCTCTATCTATAATCGCTGTGATGCTTTGAGCGCGCTTGTTGACAGGCCTATCAACGGCTCTAGGAGGGAAGGCTTTGAACATCCACTCCTAGGTCGTGTAGACGGTATATGAGAAGACGCGGGGGTTAGTGAACCCGACACCTGCCATCCAAAAGGCAGAAAGTTTCTGGCAGTTACCAGTGCCATGTCTAACATTCCAGCCCTCATTTGAATGCCTCGAAACTCGCTTTCTTGTCCAGGTTCCAGGTCCCCTAATTACCCAAAATCATGAGCAGGCAAACTTAAAATGTGCTAAAAATCATTGCAAAGCCAAGACCAATCAAAATGCC